GAATTGGTCTGTGGATTCGCCAAGCCCAAATGACTGTGCGAATCAGTCATTCCCTGTAGGATTACAAATTATATTGCAGAAACGCACCATGAAACCATCTGCCACGTTATATCCGAGGTTATACCGAGGATAATCGTAGTTTTCGGCTTTGATAACCGTCGTAGTTGGTTGTTGCAACGACTATTGCAATTGCATCCGATTCAACGATCCCGGCGCGGACGACAGTCACGCCGACAATAAAACGCCAATAAAATAGCTGATAATCTGATAGCTGATCTGCACGCATTAAGAAGTATCAAATATTATTTTGATAAGTTAATTTAATTAGTTAAGTTATTGTCAATATTAAACAAAATATAATGTGAATACACAACACGATTAAGAAAGGAAAGAAAGCTTTTCGGAAGATCTAGATTTGAATTCCGGCTGAGATAGTATATTATTAATACCTTTCCAGGAATTCAAAAAAGAAAATTGATAATTTTTCACGCTTTTTGTTAATTTCTTAACTTATCAAAATTTTAAACATTATAGTTTATTAAAAAATTACTATAATTTATTAAAAAATCAGTATATATATATGTGTGTGTGTGTGTGTGTGTAAGTAAATAATGGTCTCAAGCAAATAATGAGCGAATAAGTAATAAAATGTAAAATGTAATTACTCTGTAAGACATGATAATCACTGTTGCTGCTATCGGGATACTCGTTAGACTTTGCCGGATTCAGCAAGATTCATTTAAAACGAATTCCTGCCATCTCGCCCTGTGGATGCTGCATCTCTATATTCTGTACTTCACTCTCATCGGGATCACTACGTTACATTACTATAGAGATTACAGATATAGTGTAACGTGTATCATATGCCAACGTGGATTGTAATCTATGTGATATTACATATCAATGAAAATTTCAAAAGCGTTATGTGAACTGAGAGTATACAAATATCTGATAAAAAAGAAAGCTTTCTATGAAATTTAAAATTCCCTCGAAAGAACTAATATTTCCATGTAAAATTAAAACCGCATATGAAATCTCTGTCATATGAGGAATTTTTGTGTTATATTGACACACACACACACACACACACGCGCGCGCGCGCGCGCGCGCAATATCGATATTATTCACGTTTTATGGAAATAATGAATTTTTTTGTTATATAATGAAATAACAAGAAATAGCAGAAAGAAGAGGGAGTTATATAAAAAATATACGTTAAATATATGTTAAACTGATAAAATATAATAAAAAATATAATTTACATTCTAATTGTAAAAATTTTAATTTTTTAATTTTCTATTGTCTCGGAAAAATAATTACAGTTATTTATAAGAAAAATTTGTTGAGATTTAAAATTTTTTAAATACATATTCCTAATGTCCAAAATAAAAAATTTAATTGCAGGAGAAACACTTGTTGAATACTAAATTATTATTAATTTTACTTCGAATTTATTTTCTATAAATTTCTAAAAAGGCATTGTGATTCTTTATAAATTAAGTTAAAATTAAGTTATATTATTTAAAAGTTATAGTATTTACATAAACTATCTCATAATTAACATATTTTAACATGACCGAAGATTCTGGTAAATAACTGACATTTATTTTTTTTTTTAGATTAATTCATTCAAAAGTCTAGCATTAAGAGGACGATAATATAATTCTGTAAATGTCGTAAAATAATACTAGATTGACATTCAGTAACAAAATCCACGATCCAAGTTGAGCGGATAAGCAGACTTTTGATTAAATATGTATGCTTCATATAGATCAAGTAAGTTCAGTAATAATTTGAGGATTCATTCGAGGAATCATATGCTGAAGCTGCTAATTCTATTTACAATAATCCATGATGCACGTATATATAGTTATTGAATTATATATTAAGATATTGAATGTCTAAATGATTCATATAATATAAGAAATATTTGGATCGCAGTTCGTAAAAAGTGTAAAAAAAGGAAAATGTCAAATACACCATATTGTTAAAAAAAAAAAATGCTAAGATCGTAAAATAAATAAATGATCTGAAAATATTTAAAAAATAATAAATTATAGGCAGCAAAAAAACATAATCACTAATAGTCCAAAAATTCCTAGAGTTTTAGATATCCTGATCGAGAAGTCGATAAAAGAAAAATTAAACTTGAAAATTAGCAAAGTTTTGATGAGCAAAAAAACGACACTGAGAAATTCCGAGAATTTCTAGAATTTTAAATCTTATAAGGAATCGCGGAAATTTAAATTCGTTCAAATTGATGAAATTTCAGGAAAATATAGGTCAGAAGCATTCTGCGTTGCAATTTTAAAAACTCCAAATTTATTTATTATAAATCTCTTTCGCTACACTCCATAGGAATTCATGCTCATATAAGATGATCTCTCAAAAAATATTTTGCATGTACTATTATATCAAGTTTCACACGTTTTTCGTATATCAACAATATGACGTATTTAGTTTCTTTTACGTTTTATTTTCTATATGTTCTATATATTCTATATGATATGAATCTAATTATTTTCTATGTTTATTTACGTGTGTTTATTATAATTTAAACAGATTTTAGATGCGATCCATTTGACGTTACAGATACTCCGAAACGTTTAATTGACTGATAAAAAAAAATTTATTAACTAAACTTCGAAGCATTTGTAATCTCAAGTGGACCGTAGCTTTTGTATGCCAGATATAGAGCACGATATTCATATCAGAACTGTGTACTCGAAGAAAAATGACCAGATATAGAAACTACAATGGCACATGAAAGCACTATGCGAGCGATCCCTTACTTTTTGTAGCAGTATTATACAGTTTTGTGTCTCAAGTAGAGTATCTGTAGCTAGATATACTTATTTTATATAATACAGGAAAGTTCCAATGTTTAGCACCTGTAACAATGTGCAATAATTATTATAGTAAAATTTGCTGATATTGCCATATATTATTTCTTACGAAAAACGTCGATCTAACGATAGTGATTGAATCAGAGAAGGAAGGGTATGACAGAACACGACACAGAGCTGTATGGTAAAGAAACACCATTCTGATACTTTACACATTCTTTTGACAGTGATCTCTTGCACATACCACACCGGCATCCGTATATTCATGTCTCGTCCTCGGTCTTCTCAGTGCAAAAACATATTTATTCCGATTAAAGTTATACAACAGGCGCATTGACGTAGGTATCTTAAAAGTGTAGACCCAGAGTGTTTGTAAAAAAAACTGCACAAAACTCATTTAGACCTGCACACGGGTGTACCTTCGTAAATTACACATCTATGCACGGTGTCAGTCGGCATATCGTCAATCCAGATACTTGGTAAGCCTTATCAAAACAGCGTGCAACAAAGCGTCACTTCTTTCATTGGATTCTTCCGAAATATATCTGCTTGATATATTATACAATACGACCGTCAATCAACACTGAAGGAACGAAAATTTCCGTTTCAGGAAAACCCCATCCGTTCTCGCTGTGTATCTAAATAGTTATGCTTAATTTAGGCATGAGGACGCAAGCAACAGCAGGATTCGTGTCTTGATCATGATACACCATGACTTCAGAATGTGCGGAAAAAATTATATGTACGTACCAATATCGTATATACATTTTTCTTTACATTTGCATGATGCGCGAAAAAACAGTTGCCTAAAAATGAAAATAGAAATAAAACGGGTCGAGAATATATTTCTTATTAAAATATCATGTGCGTGTGTCTGTTATATTTTTTTGTCATCTGTTTCATCATTATTATTATTAATATTAGCATCATACAGCACTTCTCTGTAAGTGAAAAAGAAACAAAAATCATATGTTGAGAAGTTGTTAATAAGATTAATCGCATTACGTAATATTTATAAGAGGCAGCGAGTCATATCTCCATTACATTAATCGCATTTAAAAGTATATATGTAAAAAAAATGGAAATGTCTTTTTTTTAGAGTTTCTCTTTTCTACCCGTCACCTAACAGGCCACACTTCGCGCAATGGAATATATTTTACTTAACTATTCACACGTAGAGTTTTCTCTTTTTTTTTTATTTTAACGCTGTTAGGTATGTTCCCCCGAACTCTTAAATCTCTCATTAATCAATTATAATTAATAATTATATAATATTTTATATAATTATGTAATTATAATTACAATAATTATTTACTTATCTATCATTTAATTGATCATTAATCGATAAATCGATTCGCAAACATGTAACAAAAGCATATCGCACATTAATCTTAGAGCGGAAACGTATGTGATCTCTTTTTCAAGCATTAATTTCAAGCTTAACAAACGACATAAAATATGTATTGACGCGTGAAAAATGTATTAAAAAAAAATTTCATAGATATAATTTTGTGAAAAATTGCACTTTTTCAAAGCGACCGCTCCAAGACTAAACTTGTGCATAATTCTAATCTACATTTGATTACTGTCGTACATATTTCTTCACAAAGCAACGAGATATTCCGTTTCGCAACAACATAAATATATCAAAATATGTTTAAAAATAATATCAAGCAGATTTGTAAAGATTGTAGATCAATATCTACGGTTTTACATAGTTACTTAATCGGCGTAGAATAAAAAAAATAAAAAAATAACATTTAATCTGATTTTTACAAATACATAATCGAAAATATGTACGGTGCAATTTGCGAAACGGATAACAAAAATGAATTCGGTTTATAATCTGTATCATCTAATCTAAAATACAAGATTCTTCCTTTTTTTAACAAATGCGAATTAGACGTTAATTACATCATATGAATATAATAAGTCAAGCAAAAAATATTAAATAAATTAATGTCTCCGCGTATATAACTTGCTCAAATATATAGCTCAAAAATTTTTATCGAGAAAACTCTCAATAATTTACGCAGTATATAAAGATATGCGTACAAAATGAGCAAACTATATTAAATTATATAAAAGTAATTACATAGACATTTAGTTATATATATCAAACATAAGCGTAATTATTATACATTATAACGCTGATTTTTTTTCACTAAAATCTTTTTAGTATTGTCCTTATCGAGAAAGTCAGTGAAGATATTGTTATATCTCACCTAAATATTTTCAATTATACAGCATTACCCTGCACTCTTGATAATACCAGATTATGGTATTTATAACAATAATTTATTTCACTGTTATGTGTTATCATAAACTAGATAGACGTTTTAAGCACTTTCTAATGCGGGCATGAAATAAATAAATTTCCCCAACTGTAATCCCTTATCCTAAGAGAGTATAAAATACTCATTGGTATCTGTAATTTTAATGGCATTCAGTACTTGGCGGAATTCAACGAAATATGAATGATAAAATCGTAACTCCTAGATTCATCATTTGCCTTCTACGAAATTTTGATCCAGCATTTAATTTAGCATTCACATATTACACGCGCTCTTCTCCTTTGACAATCCTACAACAATAATAATCTATTCTCATATGTTCCCTGCAATATCGATTATTCTTAAATTTGGCGGGGATGTTTTATATTTATCTTTATTCTCGGGTATAATACGCTGATTTTACAAGCTATAAGTATCCGTTAATAAGCTATTACAATCGGAACGGTGCGCGCTGTTCGATCGGTGTGGGTTTTCCCTTTCGTGTGATCGGGGTCGTTCCCGACATCGACGTGTCGGAAGCTCCAGAGGGTTTCCTCGATAATTTTGAAGACGGCGGTAGCGGTGTGCTGGATCCACTGGACGGTGTACGTACCCTGAAACAAACAATCGTATATGTGCACATATGTAATTAAACATTACCTTTCAATACCAATAAAGCAGCTTGAATGAAAACTGATATTGGCACATTTTCAGACAAAATGTGCTTTTTAAGCACATTTTCAGTGAATGAATGAAGGAGAGAAAGGAAAATTTTTGAATCAATATTGATGTTTACCTAGCTTGTTTAATGGCTGTTGGTATATTAGTTGCTGAATTGGTACACAGGGAACTGCTCCTAGCGTTGTGAAATAAAACGTTAGTTGAGGAGTTTAAATATAAAACTGTTTTAATCAAAATATTTAATAGAAATAGAAGTTGGTCAATTAGTGATAATTTATGAATAGTTTGGATGTACTATCGACATGATAAATAAAACGAAAAGCTGCAGGCATTATTAGCTAAAGAAAAGAAACGGAGCTGTTTTTGTTAAATAAAGCCATGCTACGTAATATACAATGTCAAGATGAAATTTTAGTGAAAAATAAATACAACAAACATGTTAAATAATAATGCTACTAGTTACAAGAAGTTCTATAATGCTAGAAAAGTAAAACATTCGAAGAATGTTTTACTTTTGTTGTGAGAAGAAACGGGAAACGGATTATATTGTAAAGCGCCAGTTCAGCCATACCCAGTGGAATCAGTAGAAATCGTAGAATGGTTGCTTTGTGTTGAATGAGTCGACATATTGCTGGTGGTCGACTGAGGAGATTTTATATCCACCCCCACATATACGGGTATCCTAGAGCGGCTAAGGCATTACCATCGAAATGTTATTTTTAATTGCACGGACGATATCTTATGTAAGTGTACGACAATGAAAATTCTTTTCGCATGAGAATTGAATAAACAAAGTCAGAAACGAAGAGAGGAAAATCAGGAAAAATACAATCAAGGATCGAAATAAAATAACAATGAAAAAATAAGCATAAATGTATCACCGTCACCAAGACTAAAGTCTCTTATAAAAAGCGTTTCACACCACAGAACACTTTACAGCTTTTTACTTTGCGTTTTGTTTTTTGTTTTTTATTTCTAATAGTGCTTCACGAAGATAGAATGCATAACGCAAAGCGAAAAATTGCTGCAAAATAGCTACCCCGAGCCAGTTTTACATGAAATTGCCGATTCGTTAATTTGCTTTACCTGATAGGTGTTCCGACACCAGTCAGGGTTGGAATGCTCGAAGCTCTATGGATTGAGCCAAACCTAAAAAATGTTGTTAACCAGATCTGTTAATGATTATTAAAATACTATATCCGATCGATTAGTTGTGTAAATGTTTTGCGGTTAACACAGGATGTAATAAAAGATTTATTCAATTAATAATGCATCGTCCAATACATCTTTGTTTCTTTATATGCAAACATTTTGACAGTATTTCACGTACGCGTCGTACGTATTGGTACGTGTCATATGTAGTGTACATACGCGGTGGAATTGTAATGTAAAGACGGAAAAAATTGAGTAAAACAAAATAGAAAAGGATAAAACTAAATAGAAACTAATAAAAAACAAAGTTGATTCTTTCGGGATAAACATACATATCGAATATTCCTCGAATCAGTCAGTTTGACGTTAAATCAGATACTACTGGTTAACGTTAATCTATATGCACACAGTTGTGATTATATATATCCTGTCTAAGGCACGCTAATGCGAGTTAGTCCATGATCTATTTCAGATATATAAGATGACATATGTTGAGGATTACAAACCTAGAGGGTACTCCGCTGGCGGGGCTGATTAATCCCGTTGGAGTGCGAGGTCTAGAGCTCGATCCATTCATAGGAGTTGTAAGTTTTCTACCAGATACACTGTTATGTCTACTGGACGTCGGAGTATTACCGGAGCCTATGATAGTCCTTCGCGGAATGCGACTTGGGGTGCATGAATCGTCTGCCAAATCAGATATCAGACAATTTTTTAGACTTGTCCAAAGAAAGTAGAAAACGGAATTTAATAATTCTCATATCTTTTAAGTTTTGGACTTCTAATTAATTTTTTAAATTTAATTTATTTACTAGTTTTTACAGTTATTGTCTAAAAATTTAAACATTATAAATTTTACAAGTTACTTTATCATAACAATCTTAATTTTAAACTTGATTGATATTTGAATTGTAATGAATCAGAGATTCAATATAAATTTAAATTTCAAGTTACATGTATTATTAATAAACACTGAAGAGAGCTCAAAACGGAATCGAAACGATTCTGAAAAATACTTTTATATATAATTATGGGTGAATAAATATAATAATTTACCGTTAGCTGCTTTGATTCATACAGGCTCTCTTACTTATCTTTTACTTTATAAAACAGAATACTTATGCGTACCATCCAACGACTGCGTTGATCCATATCGACTAGGCGGTTTGCTTCCTTGTCTCGACGCAGGTCGGCTACTCGGTCTACTAGCTGGTCGGGAGGCAGGTCTTGATGCTGGCCTGCTAGATGGACGACTACCACCTATAAAGCATTATACGATATATAACAAACAATTAATTAACGATAATTACGATAAACTATCCTCATTCATACTTCATAAGTAATAGTATTTTTAATACAAATTCAGAATCTTACCAGGCGTCATGGTAGATCTATAAGGCGTGCTGGTTTTTCTAGATATCTTGAAGGAACTTTCGTTGTCGCTAAGGCTGTCAGGCGTGCCAGCGCTCAAAGATGAACGCGAAGCTCGCGATTGACCCATAGGTACGCTGCGAGCACTGCGTTCTCTCACCTAGATAGTAAACACAAAATTATCTGATAAAGTTGACATGTAAATGTATACAAAAGCAGAAGAAGAAGAAGCTGTCACTATGTCTAATTCGTATCCAATACGACTATCGAATGAGTACGGTTTCGTATTACGCGTTCTCTGCCGCCTAATTATTAGTATTTATTAATATTAGTGCTGTGTGCAAGTTACGTCGCGCGCAATAAAATACCTTTCAAGTTTTTTTTGAAACTACTGAAAAAAATCTGCTGCTTGTAATATAGTAGCTTTATCTTTTGCGATTTTTTAATAAAAATAAAATCAAGCAAAATCAGATAAAAACATATGTCTGTATTTATATGAACTAGATATTACGATACTCAATAAATATTACTAAATATTACTAAATTTTTAATATGTTTATAGTAATAGAGTACATGTGCTTATTCTAATATTCTAATGTGAAAAAGATATTCTACGAGAAAATATAAAAGAATAGAATTCTAGTCTTCAACTGTTAACTTTAATTATTTATTCAAAGTACATAGATAAACGCAGCAGTTAAAATGTGAAAGCCTTTGTTTCTAGAAATTTAAATTGATTAAATTAGACCAATAATTCTATCGTGTTATTATCGCTAGAAGTTTAACAAGCAACACAAACTTGTGCACAGCCATAACTAGTGAAAATATACCGGTTTGCGGTCCATTACGCTCGTCGAAGCTGTTGAAATATCAAGATTAAATAATACAGAATGTAAAATAAAAGTTACCATATTCGGGTAATAGGTAAAGCGAAGTGTCATGCAAAACTTACCACAAGAAGTTGGGAGAGATATAGTAGCTTATGGTGATTCGAGGTATCTCCGATCAATGCCACTACGCACGCAGCAATACAGGATACACATTCGTTATGCATGTTCAATTAAATTGACTACACATCCCCGATACGTTTTTCGTTTGCCGTACGAATAAACGCATGTCTATTATCGCGAACTTATTTGCAAAAAGTCGATTTCAAATCGCTCACAAAAAATTTTATGACTGTTATTGATGATGTTCTTTCGAATACGAGATTGAAAGATGCAAAAAATGAGAAATTAATTTCTTGATAAAATCACCGATAGTTTGTTGTTGCTCGAATATTTACGTTACATTGAAAAATGAGATAATAATCAGCGAAAGAGACTTTGATCATGCTCGAAATTGAATGGACAATTGTTTTTCTAGGGTCAAGGGTCAGGAAGTTAAGAGGCGTCCAAATAATTCTGATAAAATCAGACATATTCGACGATCAACCAAAAAAAGAATCAAGTCAATGCAGAGCAATGTGCTTGAATGAATGTGACGAGATGTAACATGCTATGAATCTATCTCAAACAATATCAGATCACAAAATGGATTTACAATTTTTAAAGAAAAATGGGCAGGCTTGAGGCAAACACAATGATAAGATATGATAATGAACTGGTAATTTCTTTTTGAGTCTTTGCTCCTATTCATTCTCCTTCACATTACTTGCTTTCTTCAAACATTTTCTTTTGACATGCATTTATCAACTTCGTTATATAGTCGGAAGCATTTATGATACAAAGATTATGAATAATTACTTATGCTCGTTGATTATTCATAATTATTGTTTACGTCTGGCATATATACATCATCGGAGAATCTCTATAATATCCCATGCAGCAAACTTTAAGGAACCGAAGGACTTTTTAGGCATGTCCTTAGAATATAGAATGTCCTCGTTTTTAGGATGGATCCCTTAAGGTTTGTATATAGGATATAAATATAAAAAAATAAAAGAGAAAAAAGCAAACGTACTGACAGTCCAGAAATACACAATGCATCGTCGATTGACTCAAATCGCGTGTCGCGACCGCACTCAAACTCCAAAACTCAAGTGTGTACAGCATCACACGAACGCCAAGAAATAGAAAATTGAGAAAGATTTCGTTATTTACCCAATGATAAGAGGGGGCGTGCATGTGAAGGGGATACGAGCACGGGAGGTCCTCCTTTTGCCTCAAATTCTCAAATATCGGCATCAGCTGGCTCATAAACTCCTCCGCTACACCACAAACGAAAATCTTTAGCTTTCTCATGCAATTGTAGTGGCCCCTTTTTCAGAAGGCTCACGCCAAGTAAAAAATATTCCTGAAACGAACAGCTATCTCCGCACTAAATTGATATATGATTCCATGTCTTTTCTTCTGAACTGACTGACTCGGATCACAATGTAAAAAATTTTTCAATTTAATATCTAATGTAACATTTGTCTTCATAGGATTTCACAAGGATCAATAATTGTGTGGAATTGGGAGAATTTTCCTCTTGCTGTTACGAAGTGATGAAGGTTGGAAAGGATTTTTGGAAAAAGATAGGCAAGAAATTTACGAAATCACATCTCCTGAGGTCGAACGAAGAGCTTGAGACGTCGGGTCTGGCTTTTAGTTGGTGTACTCAAACTGTTTTTTTTTTTTACAAAACCGATCAATGATGAGAGTAGACAAGCGTCATAGATTTCTAAATGCCTCTACATATTCAAACAATGCAACTGACTGGAAAACTGCCATGCTCATGCGAACGTCAAATTGCTAGATTGACAGCTAGTCGAAAAGTAGTCGTACTTACGGATATTGATGAGACCATAAATCAATCACTGATAGAGTTGTCCAGGTAAGAGCTGTACGTGCAATTTAATATTTTCTATTGCGGTACCATAATAGCACCCAATATCTAATATAAAAATTCATGAGTATTCTACGAGTTTAATTTACAAATTAACGGCAGAGAAATAAAAGGCGAAAATGAATCCTGTATGTGCTACGTCGCGTTTAAGAGATTCCACGATTGCACAATAGACCCTGCTTACCTTGGTGATTGGTCCAGCATTCGTGGAGGATATTTGCGTACGCTGCAGCGTCGAGGTCGGACTCGGCTTGGAACGGAAGGCTGTCATAGTCTGGCTAACACCATCCGCCAGTATAAATTGCTCTCGCAGCTCGATATTCGTTCTTCCCTTGGCTACAGTGTGTTGCGTGCACGCAGTTAGGAAAAAGGCGTTTCGGGGATGCGGGGTATGAAAGGAAGTGCCAGAGAGATGTTATTTTGTACAAGAAAACAGTTCGGAAACAGTGGGAATGGAATGACGTCAAGATGAAATAACGAACGCGAAAACGATATAATGACGTAATTCAAGAAAAAAAAGGAAAAAAAATGAAAGCGAAAATGTAAATATCGGAACGACAACATCCGGAACGAGAGTCGTGAATTATATGGAGCGGAAGGTGTAACAATATATAT